ACTGTGCAGTCAGCTGAGTGCAGTTAATTTTAGTTTTAGAGTAAGTCACCAAAAAAGCACCTGTAACCTCAGTTCCCCTCTCCCCCCAGCTCTGGGACAAGCCTGGCATGGCTGGCCTAAGGATTTAGTCCTGAATGCATCCAAATGTACCTGAAAGAAGTAAAAATGCGAGGAATTAAAATGTATAAATCAACTTTGCAGTCTCTTGCTCAGTGCAAATTAAACAGTCTATAACACAGACACGAAACATCTGCTAAACAGAGTAAAAATTAATGAAGAAGAAAATTAAGATAGCTCTGTTGTTGCTTTTTATCAATTTCTGCTCAAATCTGAGCAGGGTTTAATAAGAATGCTGCCAGTTTGCAAAGTGATTCTGAATTGCTTAACTTCTATTTATACTTTCTTTGCATATTCTGGAATTCTTCATAAAAGTGGGAAGTTTGTGGTGCAATAATCCACCAGCAAGTACTTCACAAACATTTCCAAATATATCTCCACTCCGTAGGGATGCAAAGTTAAGCTGCAGCTTAAGTGAAAGAACAGTTTAGGGAGCAGCTCTGGCAGTTGGGATCATCTTCTACTTTATCTGCTGGGTGGTTTTGGTGTTATTTCAGTCCTGCCCCAATTCTCAGCGAGTTCCCCTCCGGAAAACAACAGGGAAAAATGTGTTTTGAATAATTCTACAGAGGGTCTGACAGGGAGAGCTCAGAGTAACCAGGGAGAGTTGCCAGGAGTGTGTCACGGGCTTGAGAGGTGGAGTCTTCATCAAAATTTTTTTGGGACTGTGCTTCCACCAAGATCCAAGCAAAGATTCCCACTGAGGTCAGCGGGAACAGAGCTCCAGCTTTTCATTCCCATTTCGTTGGCACTGTCAGTGTTACAGTTGCTTTTATACACTTGGATATACTTGGATATACTTTTATACACTTGGATCACCTGGAAGCTGCACAGCTACTGAGCTGATCTTACTTTTCACCTGCAATAGCCAATTTTTCTTGCAATTCTAGAATTGTACTAATTCAAGGTTTCTGTAAGTTGGTCTCTTTTCCCAGGCAACCATCAGCAAGACAAGAGGGCTGGGTCTTAAGCTGTGCCAGGGGAGGTTCAGGTTGGATATTAGGAAGAATTTCTTTGCAGAGAGGGTGCTCAGCCATTGGAATGGGCTGCCCAGGGAAGTGGTGGATTCTCCATCCCTGGAGGTGTTTAAGGACAGACTGGATGTGGCATCAGTGCCATGGGCTGGGAACCACAGCGGGGTTGGATCAAGGGTTGGACTGGATGATCTCAGAGGTCCCTTCAAACCCAGCTGATTCTGTGATTCTACCACACTTTACACATGAAGATGTCCCGTAACGAGGAATGGAACTGAGCAGAAAACAGAAGGGAGCAACTTGGGTGGAAAATTGCTATTTTCATCCCACGCCTGCAAACATTCCCATCCGAGGGAGATGCAAGACGAGCAAAATTCCTGTGATGAGATTTCCCGGGGGTTTAAGCAGGAGAAGGCAGAATTTACCTGCAATGCTTGGATTTGCCGCAACATAAAATCCTGGAGATGGTATCAGGACGTGTGGCTTGTATCAACTGAGATCAAAAAGGAAGGATAAAAACTCAACTTTATTTACCTGTTATCAAAACTAATGTAAAAAAAAAAAGTAGTTTATGGTGTTGCTGCAGCATTATTCCTCTGGAGAGCTCTGCCTGTGTCATCCCAGATATCCTAAAATCTGTTTCTTTTAAAATATCTGAAAAGCACGGGATATTTTACTGCATTGCAGTTTTATTCCTGACGAGCAAAACTCCAGTTTTATAGTTCTTGTTGGGACTGATTTTTCTATTCTGATTTTATATCTGAACAGAAGAAAGAGGAGATGGCTCTGGAGCCTCCAGGGAATAATTTGCCCGAATACTTTGCAGGACTAACCTGCAATAAACTACATTTATGTCTGATTTGTGCCAATAACAGCGTTTGAATCTGAAAATCATGAGAAAACATTCCAGCTGAATGCACAAAACAGTAACAGAAGCATTCTCCAAATTTTAAGACCCATGGGAATATTATAGAACAGAAATTGTACAGATTTTGGTAGTATTTTAACAAGGAAATTTCCATCCAACTAAATAGTTCCTGTAGTGACACTGCCCAGTAAAGCTGATCACCCACCAGTGTTGTATCCTCACTGTTCATCCCCAGGGTGAAATAATAATAACTCCATAATAAATTCACTTTGCAACTACAGGAAATGAAATAGATTTTTATTGTTGTTATTATTTAGGTTATCCTTGTAAGTATATTTACAAAATGAGACTTCTTACAATGAAAACCACTGGATTTTTTTTTTTTAATATAAGCAAGAAATGACAGTGTTAACAGTGGTGGTATTGTGCCAATACTGAGAGCTTTCTCATTCTTTATTTTAATTCTGGGCACCACAAAAATTGCCTAGGAAGGAAAATTTTATGACAATTTTTCCTCTTGGACCCCAGATTTTCAATTTTATTCCATATCAGGTAACATATACGCCATGCCTATGTATTAGAGCACTAAACAGACAATGAATATATGTTTATTTCTAAGAGATTATTTGGTTCTGGAGCCAAAATCAGCAAACAAATGATGCCTCAACCACTTCATGCTCCGCGCGAGCAGGAGGAGGAGCTGTTGAGCAAGAAATGCTTTTCCCCACTTTTTCATTATCAGCTCCGGTGTAATTATTCAGTTTATTTGCGGAGCTGACTCAGAGATCGCTTTTCATTCCTTTCACAAACGAACAAAAGTTTGAGTTCGCCCCCCCAGCAAACCCAAAATTAAATAGCAACTGATATCCCGAATATTTAGGACGTTTTTAGTGTTGATTTCCAGTGTTTAAAAGGATGTCTTTGGATCCTGAAGTTCTGTTTCTTCAGTGGGAAGAGCTGACAGAGGAACCAGCGCACGATTCAGCCCTGGGGTGCAGGATGAGACCTGGAAGTGGATTTGGTGGCTCTCCCTGGATGCTGCTTGGAATTTTGCACTTAATTGGTGTAGAACCTGAGCTTAACACCCGAATTATTGGCATTTAATCAGTGGGCAGCTCCATTTCGATTTTACACACATCACTTTGCACTGCCCCATCCCGATTGCAGTGCCTTCCCCATCCCATCTCTCCAGCAGAACCAGACTTCACCTGTGCCCTGCTGTTCCAGCCCCTTCTCCAAGAAAAGTTTCAGCCCCTCAGCAGCTGCAGAGCCTTTCAGATCACGTTCTCACAGCCAAGATGCCTCTGGAACCAACTCAATCTCTCCTGCAGCCTAAAATATGTATAATGTAATGGGAGAGAGGCAACAAGAATCATTTTGTTAATGGGCTGCTCCAAGAAGATCGAGCTTCTCCTGCTTCTGGGGGCATTTAGCACAGGGAGGATGCTGCACTTGCCTGGAGAAAACTGTTGGGCAGTGCATGGATACGAGTCCTTGGCAACTGAAATAATGATGAGGAGAAGCTGTTGGTGGCTGGAAGAGTGATTTGTGTGCTCTCTGGCCTGGAACCACTTTATTTCACTTCACAATTCCATCATCTGAATTCAAATTGCCACCAGTGAAACACGACTTCCATAGGAGTCATTGTTCCCTGACAGTACATGCACATTTATATTGCATTAAAATGAGGATTAAATAAATAATTAGCTGGTGGTAGTGATCAGTATTCTCCCTATTTTACACTTATTTTGTCTTTCCTTAAATATAAAATCAAATAGAATGAAAAGAAGCCATAATATAGTATTATTAGAATTATTAGCTACGTAGTTTTTAATATGAAAAATATCACTTCATTGGTGCTACTTATTTATCCCATTTAGCCTTATGTTTCCTAGAAGTTTTGTGAAGTATTTTTAGCTAATTCCTATCCAATCACCATCATAAGTTAGAGATAAAACATGCTGGTACCAGATCACCAACTCACAGGTGAAGAGTAAAGACCCCAGGGCTCAACTCAAGCACATTATGACAGATGGGAAGATAAAGGCAAGAGTTTCTCCGGGCCTGAAATGAAAAACTTTGGATAAAACACTAATGAAGTGTTAAGTACCTGTAAGATTTAAAGCAGTGTCACCTTCTATCCCACATCTGTCATGAATTTTCCTGCTCCTCAGAGCTGGGTGGAAGAATCGGACACAGAAAGGCTCAAATCATTAACTTTGGGTTAACCAGGCCTGGGTTTACGTAATTTACTTGAAGCTCCCACTTCCTCTGGACTTTTGTTAATGTGGAATTTACACATAAAGATAAATAAACCCTTGTTTTGCCAGTTCTTTCAAAGATCAGCTCAAGTAAATTACGGGGCAGAATCCGGCACTTCCCCTTGTTGAACTTCCCATGGCTGGCGATTCCCAGCCCTCGGATCCATTGAGGTCTCTCTGCAGGGCCTCCCTGCCTTCCAGGGACTCAACAGCTCCTCTCAGCTTGGTGTCATCTGCAAACTCGCTTAGTTTGTCCTCTAGAAGAATCACAGAATAGTTTGGGTGGGAAGGGAAGTTAGAGGTTATGGAGTGCCACCCCCTGCCATGTGCAGGGACACCTTCCACTAGCCCAGGTCGCTCCAAGCCCTGTCCAACCTGGCCTTGGACACTTCCAGGGATGGGGCAGCCATAGATTCTCTGGGCAACCTGTGCCAGGGCCTCCCCAGCCGCTGAGGAAACAATTCCTTCCTCTTCCTTTCCCTGGCCCTTCCCTTCCTCTCAGCTCCTTTGGTGGGCTGCGAGCGCTCCCGGAGCTCCACGAGGCTGCGGGACTACGAGTCCCGGTGGCCCCCGCGCCCCGCCCGCCCCTCCCCTCGCCGGCGCCGCGCCGCGGGGGCCGCCGGGACTCGTAGTGTCGGGGCGGGGCCCGGGCTCGGCGGGGGCGGTGGCGGCGATCGCTCCGCCCGCGGGCAGGAGGCAGGGCCGGCGGCGGGCGCGGGGCACACGGGACACCCGGGACACACGGGGCGCACGGGGCACAGGTATCGCGGGCGGCCCTGCCACGCACCCTCGGGCCGAGCTGCGAGCGCTGCGGGGCCGGGCGCCGGAGCTCGGAGGGGCCGCGGCGGCGGCGGCGGCGAGAGCTCCGCTCAGCACATCGCCCATCGCCCATAGCCGGGCCCGCTGCCCCCGCGCCGGGCTCCGCGGGGCCGCTGCCCGGCGGGTCCCCAGGGAGCGGCGGATCCTGGGGAGCGGCGGATCCGGGGGAGCGGCGGATCCGGGGGAGCGGCGGATCCTGGGGAGCGGCGGATCCCGGGCATCAGCGGATCCCCGGGAGCGGCGAATCCCAGGGAGCGGCGGATCGCAAGGAGCGGCGGATCCTGGGCATCCTCGGATCCCCGGGAGCGGCGGATCGCAGGGAGCAGCGGATCCAGGGAGCGGTGCATCCCGGGCAGCGGCGAATCCCGGGCAGCGGTGCATCCCGGGCAGCGGCGAATCCCGGGCAGCGGCGGATCCCGGGAAGCGGCGGATCCCAGGCGGCAGCGGCTCCCGGGAAGCGGCGGGCGCGGGGCTCGGCGCGGCCCGCCCGCCGGGGATGCGCTGAGCGGCCGGCCCGGCTCGGAGCCGCCCCGTGCATGCTGTGGGGATACACTGTCGCGATAATAAATGATAGAGGATACCATGACTTTGCTGTCTCTGCTGGGTCGGATCATGCGTTACTTCTTGCTCAGACCGGAGACCCTGTTCCTGCTGTGCATCAGCCTGGCCCTGTGGAGTTACTTCTTCCACACGGATGAGGTGAAAACCATCGTTAAGTCCAGCAGGGACGCGGTGAAGATGGTGAAGGGCAAGGTGGCCGAGATCATGCAGAATGACAGGCTCGGGGGGCTGGACGTGCTGGACGCTGAGTTCTCCAAGACCTGGGAGTTCAAGAGCCACAACGTGGCTGTCTACTCCATCCAAGGCCGGAGGGACCACATGGAGGACAGGTTCGAAGTGATCACCGACCTGGTGAACAAGACTCACCCCTCCATCTTCGGGATATTTGATGGGCACGGAGGAGAGGCAAGTGCTCAGCTGGATAAAAAGAAACCAAAAAACAACAAAAAAAAGGGGGTGCGGGAGGGAGGGCGGTTCAGGGCAAGGAGGGGATGAGTTCTCACCCACCAGGTTTGTGTGGTTATCTTGAGATGATCTTGAGATGTCTTGAGGCACTGAGGGGAAGGGGGTTCCCTGGCTTTTTGGAGGAGGGGGTTGTCTCTAAATAAGGACCATGAAATACTCCATTCCCTTTATCTCTCATTACCCCTTCCACGATCAGCACGGTATAAATGTGTTTATCCCCCCTTTGCCCTTTGCAGTAGTAAAGGTTTAATTGGAGTGAAAGCCGTTGGAGGTGGCTCTGACGTGCGTGGAATAACGATGATGAGCACGAACTCCCTGGAGTCATCTTTTGTTACAGCCAAGTGTGGTGTGATGTGATTTTGGCACCGGCCTGGTTTCTCCCCCTGACAGAGCTGGGCTCATCACAGAGGTTACAGAGCATTGCTCCTGAAGGCAGGCTGTGCGTGGAAAATGTGTCTTCCCAGTAATTCCCTCTCCAGCGAGGAGCTGAGTCTGCTGAGAATGAGCATCGCGTTTGTGAATTGTGTGTAGTTTTTATGTCATTACAACTGTGCTGTTGTGCTTGTCCCTTCCCTAGTGGAAAGCCAGGAAAACTGTCATTTTGAAACTTTGCGGTGTTTAACCTCCTAACTTTTTCGGGCAGGGCGACTTCCTTCGGGTCGTGCCGTGTAATTGGTGTTCCAGCTTGATGGGATAATTCATTTCTGACAGATGAGAGACGTCGAAACTGCAGCTTCCTCTGCGTTTAGGATGTGGTGCTGCCACATAGCTTTTTGTGTGGCACAAAGCACATGTTTCATAACTGTGGGAAAGGACAAAGAATTTGCCCTTGAGCGACAAATTAGCTCTAGCAAGCGTTGTATGCAGGGTGTGAGACAACCTCATGGATTTGGGGATGATGTTGGAAGTTTTTCAGCTGAATGCCCTGCCAAGGAGGGATGAGGCAGCGAGAGAGCCTGGGTGTTCCTCCAGCTGCTCTCACAGATCAAGGAGTCAAAGTCCTTCCTAGAAAAGCACTGGCAGTGACCGGGCATTGATGGAGCACAGGGATGGCAGCCGCTGCCCCGCTAAACCTGGAAGTGCCACCTGGAAAATCCAGGCTGGAGGCACGGGATCAAAAAGGCTGTGAAGGGACTCGGGCTGTCCTGCTGCTCCTCCGGTGTCAAGCGTTTTGCCCCCTTTAAATTAATGCAAGCACTGTGGATACTGAAAAACGTCACCTTCATAAAAATGCTGGTGGTGACTGACCCCCGTTCTCCTTTTTCTGCCTGGTTTGGTTGGGGCACAGCTGTGCCAACTCTTCCTGGCATTCCCGGGCCGGTCCGCTGTCCCTGGGCCTTCGAGGAACACGGGGGCAAATATTGCTGTGTCCCAAAGTGGCTCGTGGCTTGTCCAGCAGGAGGATTAGCCCGGAGCAGAGTGCCGGGGACAGCTGGCTCCTTTGTGCTCCGCGGCTCTGGGGGAAGTGCTGCTGCTCTGCCTCCTGCCTCCTTCCCCTTTGTGTGAACTGCCAGCTTGCCTGGGAGCCGCGCAGCCAAAACAAGTTTGTGGAAGTGTGTGTGTGGTGTTTTTAGACAGAATCCTGGGGTCGTTACAGCTGGAAGGGTGAGACACATGCTTGGACTTGGTGTGAAAGGGGCATCTGACTCCCTTCATTAATTTTGTATCCTACATGTGTCTTGCCCAACACCTGATTGCAAACTCAGTGGGTTAAATAACCCAGAACTAACACAGGGAGTAACTAAATAACAATGTGCTCTCTATATATTCCTTGTTTTGTTGTGGATCTTGAAATTATAGCCTACATTAATGATAATCTGTGGAAAGCTCACTTGCCTTTTGTGTTCTGCTTCCTCAGAACTTGTTCTAATTGATTCAGTGACAAAGTATGAGGCTTTCATGGAGGAGGAGTTTCATTTTAAAAGGTTCAACAGATCTCTCTTCAAATCTCTCTAGATTTAGTATTTTATAAATGTGTGTATCCCGCATCTCTTATTCATCCTTCTAATGAAAGCTTAAGTGTTTCTAACGACCTTTGCTCCCGCAAAAATAAGTTAAACTCTAACTAGTTTCTGGCTTTTAATTTTAAGTAAAACTGATCAGAAGAGCAAAAGCTGTGTGCTGTGCATGCAACAAAAAAAAAAAAAAAGAAATCATGAAAACCAGGGTTTAGCCTTAGCAGGTTTTGTAGTTTTGAGTAGAAAACAGGGGAAAGAGAAGAAATAACAAAAATTATTGCTCTTATTTAATCCCTAGTACATAATACTAAATTTCAGGTCTCTGTTTGAATTGGGGTTTTTGTATGTCTTACTTTTTATTTATTTTCTTTAAAAGATAAAAGGATCTGTGAAAAAGACTTTATCTACATGTGTAGCAAAGCCCTCGTGAAGATTAAATTTTCCGTGTGGGCTGCCATTAAATTTCTTTATGTGTATTTAAAGAAGAAAGAACTGCTAATCCCCAGAGTTAAGTGTGAAACAAACTGTTCTATACAGGAAAAAACCTGTTTTTCCAAGCAGATAATGCCACAAATTAGATGCTGGATTAATTCTTTCCAGCTATATACAAGGGAGTGCGTCTCCATTAATTGCTTCCTGCCATATCCCATTGAAGTGGAAGGATGGGGAAGCGTGATTCAAGCAATATGAATTACTGTGCACTGCTGATTTATGAAGATTTCTGAGTTCTGCTTAAATATCACCAACATTCTGCATAAATTCTACTTTTCCCTTGTGCCATTTCCTCTTCCATCTTGCACTTTTGGCCTGGGTAGGTTGGCAGCCATTTACTTGAATTTTGGGGGTGGCTTGATGAGAAAGCAGTAAGCAAAAATAATTAATAATGCTCTGGGTTGCTGCTTAGAATCTGGTCCTGCTGCTGCAGTTACTTGGTAAAGGCAGTGATATTTCAGGGATAAAATTCCATACATGGTGGGTGGTGCAGTGTTTTTTCAAACATTAGTTTGTTTCTTAGAGATATAACAACAACAACAAAACCACCACCAGAACAAAAATGACTATATTATTATTATTATTATTATTATTATTATTATTATTATTATTATTATTATTATTATTATTATTATTATTATTATTGTTATTATTATTATTATGTAGACCAGGTCAAAGAAGTAGAAAAGTTTCTTTCTGTTATTTCACTTTGGCCAAAGCTTTCAAGGTGATCTAACTTAAGAAAAGAAGAGAATAAAGTATTTGTCTGTTCTCTCATCAGCTTCTTTACAAGGCTCAAAACTGGCGTGAGTGCTTTCTTTTTTCATCCCCCCTTTCCATTTTTCCTTTATTTAGGAATTTCGGGGATGCCCAGGTGGAAGCTGGAGCAGTGTCAAACCCTATAAACGACCAAAATAACAATGAGCTTGAAAGCTGAGCAAAGGTTGCTTAATCGGAGTGATTTAACTATTTTAACTAGCATTTACTCTCAAATATTTAAGGTTTAAGCACTCAGTTTAATGAGATCTCAGTATTAGACAAGACAAAGTAGCTCAGCTACCATCTGCAGTTTTATGGTTATGGCTCTGCTGCATGTCATTGTTTGTTCCTAACCCTGTGGGGTGAAGGCTTTAAAAATAATTATGGTAATAGATGGTACCTTCTCTGCTGCCTGTGCTTGTTTGGAGTCATAAACGGGTGTGGGTAACGAGGGGGGGGGAATTAAAAGCTCAGTAACTGTCCCATAAAAAAATGTCTCTCTTTTTATTTCCCTCCACCTCCTTAACGGGAACGTGGCAAGGCTTGTCCTTGATGATCTGTGGGTGCAGGTGAGAGCTTTTTGCAAGATCTAATTGGGTTTTAGAGCTGCTGTGGTGTGTGAAATACACCTTGCAGTTTGTATTCAGGGTGCAGGGGAAGGGTGTGGAGCTGGAATGTGGAAGGAGGGAATTGGCTGCGAGTGGCTGATGCTCTGTGTGTCCCAGGACCTTGAAAGCAGCAGCACCAAGTGCTGGCAGCAGTCTCTGGCTACTGATTATTTTACAAAGACACTAAAAAAAAACCTAGGAAAAGGTCAGAAGATAATGGTGAGAGTCCTTAGGAGCCTTGTCTGAGACTATGGAAACGGGAATGCTGAGGTAAGACCTGGAGAGCAGGGCACTGTGCCAGCTGTGTTTAAAGAAACCTGCTCTGCATTCAAATCCAGGTGCTTGGGTGGTTTTTCTTCCTTATTTCTTAGTTTCTCCTAATAGCAGAAGGAGTTTATAGTGTGTTGAAAGAAGAGAAAGCTGACAATTTGGCAATTTGGGTTGTGTTTTTTTCCCCCCTAGATCTCTAATTCTAATTCAAAACCTTTTCCTCTGATACTGAACTACTTAAGCGACCTCAGAGATGAAAATTTATCTATCGAGCTTTTGAGGAAAGGCCATTAAGGATTAATGGCTTGGGATTTTATAAAAGGTAAGAATAAATCAGACATCAGCTTTTGAGTTTCTCTGGGTGTTAGAGCCTTGTTGGAAGGTGAGGTCTTTGAGGCTTTGCAGCTTTTAAAAATAAACTACTGGGATGGTTTCCCTTTTATAGTCATTTCCTTTGGTTTCAAATCCAAAGTGCCCAAGTGTTTGAATAAATATTTACATAGGTGAGGTCATGCTGATAGGCAAATCTCAAATCTGCTTATAAATTCCACTCCAGTGGCCTAAAATATAAGCCAACATGATATATAGGAACATTTCTGTCATTTTGTTTGGTTTATGCAAGTTTTGATTCTTGGGTGTCTTGTTCCAGGATTATGATTTTCACCCTACAAAACCATGCTGATTTGATTTAGGGCTAAGCCATATGCTCATTTGCTGTACAAAACTGTGACTGCAAATTGATTAAAATGGTGTAAAACTCTGTAATTGGAAGTAGGGAGTTTAATTGCTGCCATTCACGGCTGTATCACTGGGTGTGGGATTGAGTGGTTTTCAATTCTGATAGAAATCAAAA